AGAGAGAAAGAGAGAGAAAGAGAGAGAGAGAGAGAGAGTGTGTGTGTGTATGTGTGTGTATATGTATGTGTGTTTGTGTATGTGTGTATGCTTATGTGTGTGTGTTTGTTGCAGTTTTTTTTCTCAAAATGACCTCATGGTGACTTGGACTTTTGATCTTTATGAACCCTTCAATTGTTACAGTTATCAAAACGGCGAAAAGCCAATTGTTTTGGTTATGAAGTATGAGCCGTTTTTGAACCAAAACCATTAATTATGTGGTCACTGAACGCGGCTCAAAATGACGAGGAGTCCTTTGGTTCTTTTCCTCTCCCAACACAGGATCACAGTAACTTTGAGTCGCATGTCCTAAAGAATGGAACCTTCTCCAAATCTGGTACGGAAACAATCGGATCGACAACGTCTCCAAACGGGGACACCGAGAACGGAGGAGTGATGTCACATGAAACCGGTTGGAGCCAGTTCCAAGACGACCTCGTCTTAGAGGAAGCGGAAGTAGGAGGGGACCCACGTGACAAGATCACGGAGTGGCAGGCGGGATGGAACGTCACAAACGCTATTCAAGTAGGTCCAAAGTGCAGAATCAAATTTTGCTAAAGTAAAAGTAGTTCAATCTTCCCATTCTTGAAATTAGTTAGAAGCGTCTCCACATATCACGTAATGGTCACCAAAATAAGACATCACGGAGAGTGGAGAGCTGAACGTGTGTTCTTAGGCAAGTAACTTCCGAAAGAAGGGTTCTAATTTACTTTTACCAAAATTTTGAATTTTGTTTGTATGCATACATCTGCGCATTGCTTTCTTTCAGTTTGAACGTCAGTTGTTCTGTTGAATAGCATTGCAGTGTTGTGATGAGTATTTGTGATGCAGCGTGGTGGAATCAGGTTCTTGTCAATTTTTGGGCAAGTAGAGTTATTGGTATCATCTTAAAGCTTGTTCACTTCTCTTTATTTTAATGAAAAAACTATCCATTTATCTTGTATACAAGTCGAAATATTTGCGAAAGAATGAGGTGGGGGTCAACTGTTTTCAGAGGTAAAATTAGTGAGAAAATGGCCGCCAAAGATTAGTTATTTCCTTAGCTTAATAGTCCGTAGTAACTGAAAATTTATAATTTTTGAGCCTTTAATCAACGTTCTTCAGAAAAATCAACACATAAATGAGTTTTTGGATGAGCGTGAAAGGTGATGAGCCCACAAACAAAAATTTGATAAAAATTCACAAACCTGCGGGAAAATGCAAGTTTCTTCACTTTGATGATTTTTACGAGAGCCTGATTCCACCACGCTGCCTCACATTTAATTCAATTCTACTCTGTACCAGACTTTCATTACGGAATATGAAAAGGACATTGAACCGCTCATTTCAAAGGCAAGACTCTACGTCTAAATGACCCACCGATAGAACAATTGACTGTTATCATGACTACTCCAAGACGCCCCAGAAAAATATAGAGCCAATCGAATATATTTTTTGACGTTTCTGGCCTTCTTTCTATATCTGTCGCTCACATCGAGAGGTGGCACGGGGAGATAAAGACGTCGGAGCTTTGCAAACTGGAAAGCCTCCTGGGTACGGAAATTGCAAGCTTGTAAGGTGTCCTTTACTCCTCTGATTCACCTTTTCCTGGTTCTTCCTCTCGCTCTCTAGCCAGGTATTTCTCGTTTTGTAGGTTTATAGGGCAGATTGGTTTGTTGTCATTCGAGTTAGATGTCCATACCATTTGTGAGGCAGCGTGGTAGAACCAGGCTCTTCGTCAAAATAATCAAAGTGAAGAAACCGGCATTTTCCCGCAGATTTGTGAATTTTCATCAAATTTCTGTTTTTTGGCTAAACACCTTTCATTCCCATTAAAGAACTCATTTCTGTGTGGATTGTTCATAAAAAGGTTTATTAAAGGCACAAAAATGTAAATTTTCAGTTACCACGGACTCTTAAGCTAAGGAAATAACTAATCTTTGGCGACCATTTTCTCACTAATTTTACCTCCGAGAACAGGTGACCCCCACCTCTTTCATTTGCAAATATCTCGACTTGTTTTCAAGATAAATGGATATTTTTTTCACCCCCCCCCCAAAAAAAAAGACAAGTGACCAAGCTTTAAGATGATGCGAACAACTCTACATGCCCAAAAAGTGACGAGAGCCTGATTCCACCACTCTGCCTCACATTTGATTCTTTTCATTCTAATGGGCTGTTGAACTGGTGTGGTTCCCATTATTTATCTGATGGCTGAGTGAGTTTATGGACTTTGTATCTTCTTGTCTTGTTAACAATCTGCCTGTTGCATCTCATTTCACACATTATGGTTTTACTTTATTAAAGTTTAGCAAGGGTCCAAATCTGGCACTGGCATGTAAGCGTTGGTACAATGATAGTGCTGGGTAGTTTAGCCTTGGTCTAATCAAAACGTCACCTTCTGAAAAACAAAGTGACCAACATAATGTAACTTTTGTGAAACCCTCTCACCAACAAAAAGCAAACCAACCAACCACCACCACCACCATCATCACCACCACCACCATCACCCCCACTAACAACAGCAACAACAACAAAGTGACAAACCAAAAGACAAAATATTGATCACCCTTCGTACTCTTTGGAAGAATCATATTTGTCTGAGGTCACGGTATTCTCGAGGAAATGATTTAACGCTTTTCGGCAAAAGGCTACTCCGCTCAACACATCAGACAGATGGCGGCAACTCCACTCCCAGTTCACGAGCTCAGAAGCCCATTACAGCGCGCGGACAAACACGTTTGTCATGGATCCCCAGACCATCAGCCGTGTGTCTTGAAGTTGTCTCTATCTCTTCATTCTATGTCAGTCTCAGAGAGGAAGATGAAAGAGAGAGAAAGCTGTGGTGGGGATTTGTTGGGGTTTGTTGTAGTTGTAGTTGTTGTTGTTGTTGGTGTGGTGGTGGTGGTGGTGGTGTGGTGGTTGTGGTAGTGTGGTGGTAGTATATTGTTGTTGTTG